TTTTTTTTTTTTGAGACAGGGTCCCACTGTGTAGTTGAGACTGACCTGGAACTCACTTTGTAGCCCAGGCTGGTCTCGAACTCACAGCGATCCGAGTGCTGGGATTACAGGCGTGTGTCACATCCTCTTATTTCCATTTCTATTTCTTTCTCAGTATTGCTTCTTACATGGTTACATACCCATATTGTCATACTAGTTTGGCACATTATTATAGTGACTCTCTTGATGTGGCATCTTGCTTTTTAGTGAAAATTGCAGTGATTAACCTGCAAGGGTGGGGAGAGGGTAAGAACGCAGATTGTACATAACATTGTTTAAGATAGAAAATGTACACAAGTACATTGGGTTTTTGGTGGAGATAAAGTTGGGCAAGACTCACTGGAGTTTTCAAAATAGTTGTGCCTAAAAAGTTTTACATCATATTTTTATTTCACTCTCTAATTTCAAAAAGTATTTTGAGCTGGGGATTTAGCTCAGTGGTGCTGCTGCTGGCCTCGCAAGTGCAAGGTCTCAAGTTTGAACCCTGGTACCAGGGTTCAATGTGAAACATTTCTAGAAATCTTATAGCTATATCATTGACCAGGAAAAAAATGAAAAATATTGCAGTATGAAATTGAAAGTAAAGCTGGTGTACCAACTAGGCCAATAAATGATGTTGGATTCTATCACATTAGAGTTGTGGTGATTGAATTGTTATTACATATTGAACTCCATGAACTTGCACCCTCTGTAAAGGATATTAGAGTAAAGCCACAGTTATTTTCTTAGTGTATCTCTAAATAGTTTCATGATCAGTCACAGAGAATAAAGTTGATCTTTAATATATCTTTAGTACTCATAATTTTCATTGACTGATTTCAAAGACACTCAATGTATTTTACTTCAGTGATTGTTCCAGGATTGTGACAGTCTATTTTTGACAATTTACAGTGGTCATGTTTCATCACAGGATATGTTGGCATTAACATAACTAAAATCTTTGGTTAATGTATTTTATTGATCATATTCTTAGGTTCATCAAGGCTTATAAGAAATTCGGTCTTCCTCTTGAACGGTAAGCTCAGTAATAGTCTTCTATTCCCTTTTCAGTTTTATTATATGGCAGGTTCTTTTGGCAGTATTTTCCATTGAGTAATAATGCTGGGACATTCTGTTCTGGAAACACCCGTCTATAAACACTGGCATGTTGGGTGGGCTTCCCTCTCTGGAAGGTTGCGGTAGAGACAGACTGCCCAGAGGCCTTCCTCGTGAGGGAGGTGAAAGAAGTGCATGCAGAACTCTGTAGCGTGTGAAGTGTTTTCCAGTTCAGGTGACTCCCAGGGGGGAAGAACATGTGGTTACTATTTGCATTCTAGTTCTTAGACTTAGTAATGTTGAAGGAGAACGATTCTTTTTGATTTTAAGATCTTCTTCTAATTAGGGAGGTGTCATGAAAATTAAAGAACTTGTGGGCCAGGGATTTAGCTTGATGGTTCCACCGCCTGCTTTGCAAGTGCAAGGACCAGACAGAGTTCAATCTCTGGTACCAAAAAAAAAAAAAAAAAAAAAAA